GCCCATGGTAGTAGTTGGCGTCTGACTGACTGAGGGGTGGACAGGTGTCTTTACAGAGCTCAGACAGGTGCTATTAAGTTAGATTAATGAGTGGAGTAGAGGTGGACTTTTTAAAGGCACACTATTAATACCACTCCAAACCACTGACCATATACTAAATAAGTAAATATACCCCAGTAGCATAAATCCACCTTCAGGCTTGAAGTAGTTAAATTAATAATCAAAAAATGCCACTCAATATAAATAATACATCAAAAACATACAAAATCCCCCAAAAAAAAAAAAAAAATCAAACGTCCAAAATTCTAAAGTTCAAAACTATAACCCCAGTGTTTGTAGTTGTCATATATGTGATTCCACACAGTAATCTCAATATTAGAGCCTCCCACAGGCTTGCACGATCAAAATCACCTCAAAGAAAAAGAAAAGAAAAAACATAGTGCATTATGCTTTTACATAAATAAACTTTGAGTGAATGCACTCCACAAAAAAACACACTTGTGAATCCAATAGTGATTAGAGTGCAAGTGTATAAGTGAAACATGTGTTGTGCCACACAAGTGAAAAACCGTGTTCACTTCTATTAAAGGAAGGAATAAATACCCTTACCAGAGCAACAAAATAATTAAGCCTTATCCAAATAGCAATGGAAGTTTTATAGCCCTTGAAAAGGATACTTATGGTTATCCCTCTCTCCTTCTATCCTCAGGATCCATCAGCAAGTCAGCTCCTTACTCCTCCTTACACCATACGCCACCAAGTTGCCAAAATATATGGGGAATAGAATAGTGTAATACCACCACTGTACCATGTAATATCTTTATTCAGTGTACTCACAATATACAAGCCTTAAAACCGCATTAATAACCGCAAGTAATATCAGACCTTTTAACAATCCTCTGCAATCTCCATATAGTTTGGTATGCTTTTGCCACTACTAAATTGTCCGCCGCCCCACTTCCGGTTCTCTCGTGTGCGTCTGACGTCACTTCCCTTTGGCGAGTTTCGTCATCCGACTTAGATCCATTATAACCAAGTCGGATTACGAAACGCGTCAAAGGGAAGTGACGTGACACGCGCACGAGAACCGGAAGTGGGGCGGCGGCCATTTTAGTGGCAAAAGCACACCAAACAATCTGGAGACTGCAGAGGATTGCTGAAAGGCAAGAGAGGACCGGAAGTGGAGCGGCGACCATTTTAGTAGTGGCAAAAGCACATCAAACTATCTGGAGATTGCAGAGGATTGTTAAAAGGTCTGATATTACTGGATTAATGCGGTTTTAAGGCGTGTATATTGTGAGTACACTGAATAAAGATATTACATGGTACAGTGGTGGTATTACACTATTACATTTTCTTATATTTTGGCAACTTGGTGGAGTAAGGAGTATGGAGCCGACTTGCTGATGGTTCCTGAGGATAGAAGGAGAGAGGGATAACCATAAGGATCCTTTTCGAGGGCTATAAAACTTCCATTGCTATTTGGATAAGGCTTAATTATTTTTTTGCTCTGGTAAGGGTATTTATTCGTTACTTTAATAGAAGTGAACACGGTTTTTCACTTCTGTGGCACAACGCATGTTTCACTTATACATTTGCACTCTAATCACTATAGAGGATTCACAAGTGTGTTTTTTGTGGAGTGCATTCAATCAAAGTTTATTTATGTAAAAGCATAATGCACTATGTTTTTTCTTTTCTTTTTCTTTGAGGTGATTTTATCGTGCAAGCCTGTGGGAGGCTCTAATATTGAGATGCCAATATCCTGACAATCCTGATTGGCTCACCCTCTGACAATGTGCGTGGCACGTAACGCGTAAGGAGGAGCCTGCTCGCGCCGCTAACGTCACGCCGTTGGAGCATCATGGAGCTCCGGCAGCCAACACATTTTTGGGACCATCAGTGTCTGATCTTACCGTTTCCTTATATGTTTTTGGATGCATACCTGCTTATCTACTCAATAAATTTGTATTACCCTCCTACACTATGGGCACCTTTTTGCTTTGACCCCGTGTGGGGAGAATCTTTTTCAGACACCTTTTGCTCTGGATTTATCCAGAAAGGGAGGCACCTGTCACCATTAGAGCTACACCTACTTATCTCTAAAGGGGAACTCTGGTCTGGAGCATTAACCTACTAGTGTTCCTGAACCTGATCCACTCTGAGAGGGAAGTCATCCTGCCTGCTGATCCAGATGTGTAGTTCGGCCCATACCAGGAAGCAATTTGTTCATTGCACTTTAATAGTGCACTTCCGGCGAGTGCGCATTTCTACTATTTATCACAAGGCACTTTCACCGATCTGGAATTGCGGGGACTTTTATTGTGGAAGACATAAAACCTGCAGATATCTACAGAAGACTTCAAGCACAGTACGGTGATGAGATGCTCAGCCGTAGTAAGACATGTGAATAGTGTAAAAGTTTCAAAAATGGCCATACATCTGTCAGTGATGATTCCAGCCATGGTGGTTCCCAGCCCACAGCAGTCATTCCTGTGAACGTTCAACACGTGAAACACCTGATCGTGGATAACCGACACATAACCTGTCATGAAATTGCACAAGAGACAAATCTTTCTGTGGGAACGGTGAACACAATGATGGCGAAGTGAAGCAGGCTGTCCTAGAATGGTTCAGGAGTACTGACAAATCTTTCTTTGCCGAAGCTTTCCAGGCATTTTAAATGCTGGGATAAGTGTATAAATGTAGCAGGCGAGTATGTCAAAAATGAAATGCAATTTCCACTCCTTGAAATTTGTTCTTTTATTATACAAACTCAAAAGTCCTGGTTTGACTTGAACGCCCCTTATATTATATGTGGTCTGTAAAATGACTTGTCTGTAGATATATCAACGGTATATCTGCACCTGGCAGGAATACAAACTGTACACAATAAAATACAAAGACAAAGTTAGAAAAAAAAGTATTTAATTATTATATTGCCGTCTACAATATATACAAAACAAAACCAAAAAAAACTCGACTGGCGAGCAGCAGTGTTACTTGTCTACATAGTAACCAAATATAAAATTTTAGCGCACTGCACTTTAACCTCTGCTCTGGAAATAAAAGGTTTAAATGTTTACTTGACAGTTAACCCTTCTCTTCCCAGAGCACACAGGACAGTGAGGTGCTGATCACAAAGACACTATCATAAATGAAGTGTGAGTATCTCCAGCACGGAGTCTGTACAGCCAGACAGACAACATCTCAGAATGTCTCTTAGTGGCTGTTCCCTGAAAGATCCAAAAATACTGACCTATATTTTCCATCCCCTGTGTAGATATTTTCACTAACCCCATATGTGTTGCTTGGTCCTAACATTCTATGTGGCTTGAGTAAGGTGTCTCTGGGAAGGAGTGTATAAAGCCTGCGTACCACATATCATAGGGAAGCAATCACCTCACTGCCTTAACAAATAGCAGCTTGCATTAACAAATGTAGCATTTGGACTACTTTTCAATTGGCAGTCAGGGGGCAGTAAAATCAGGTGGTTGATCCCTGTTTTTACCTCCAAACCTAAAAGTGGGCATGGTGCTGCTCAGAGCAGCACACATTGTTGTGGCTGTCACGCTTTGCATTATGGCGCAGCAATTTTAATGCTACATGCAGGGTTTGACAGGCAGCCCTGTTCTGTCTAACTCTCCCATGCAAGTCAATGCGGGGCGCACCGCAGCCACACAACAAACCATTAGCACAGTCCCACAGTGTAAAGTTGCTGTTCAGCAATTTAAAAAAAGAAAAAGGAGAAACAAAAACCAGACATCAGTATTTCCTTCTAAACACCTGATAAACTCCTTTCACTGCCTTCTGAAAAGCCATCCATCACAGACTGCTTTTCAGAGGGGCAATCTGTGATACTGCTAGCGTGAAAGGAACCTAAGTGCTTGTATGCAAGGGCTTCAGTGTGTGAAAGAGCAATGTATGCAGCAAGCTTTTACAAAGCTTTCAGCAACCTTTCAAGCTAGCTTTGTTTTAGCCTTTAAAGTAGTCTTCAGTTACAGTACAGAGACATTAAACATAATCTGAATGGGAGTGAGAGAAGTGTCACTTTAAACAGGCTGCTATCAAGCTTTAGTGGGCTTTCAACAATATTCAAGCAGTGTTGAAGCTTATGGAAGACAGCTAGCAGCTTGTTTAAAGTGACAGACTTTACTTTAACCTCTCCAAACTGGAGCTGATTGGTTTAAAGCCCTGTGACCTAAAATGTAAATGCTTTGTAAAAAGACTGCTGCACACACTGTTCTCATGCATGTGTACAAAGCCATAGATAAAACAGGGGTGAGTGATTATCATTTCACACATCAAACCCTTTATCATGGGTAATGTCAAGGGGTATAATTGCCAGGAGATCCAAAAGGATTGGATTATCCAGCCCAACATCATCCAAATGTAACATTTCTAATGACAGACTATAGTGAAGTTGCTGCCTAGATTTACCATGATGACATATAGTGCTGTCTCTGCTCAAACAAGGTCCACCTTCCCTCTGTAAAGTCAGCGCTACTGCAAAGTTTGTTTTGAGGCGATTGTGCCAGACTTTGCCTGCCTTTCTCTGTGCAAATTAAATGACCCAGACTCAAACCACATGGATGATATAGCTTGAGGTCTTACACAAAAAAAAATAAAAAATTAGCAGACTCACCAATTGTTGTTGCTTGTATCAGCAGCTAAGCAAGGTACTCCACTACCAGTTGGGGAGAGAGGTGTGCAATAATACAGAGTGTAGATAAGCCTTCCTCTAAGTATGACCAAATACAATAAAATGGGAGGCATGGGAGCTTCTCTCAGAAGAAATGTTGGAGATGGAAGGTCTAACATGGCTGCCCCCACCTTCCAAAGCCTCCTCAATCAGCAGATATTGCACCTGCCTGATTACAAGTGATTATAAAACATTACCTATGTGTGATTGTGGAACGGAATGGGCAGATGTCAGTCTTTAGTGACCATCTATGTATATGTTGCTAATGGACCTGAATGTGGAAGAGGACAAGTATAACTCAGCTGTGTTCCACCATGCCTCCGCCATTTAGGTGAGGAGATGCATGAATTTGGTTATTGCTGGAAGCGGTCTCCGCTGATACCAATGGTGAAGAGAAATCCGGAGGTGAGGAGTCCAGGCTTTCGCAGGTCCAATATGCTTCACACAGCGGGAGGTCACTTGGCTCACACACACTGTAGCTTACAACACAAAGGCCAACAGGTAAAGCAGAGAGTGTCCGGGAAGCGAAAGGAGAGTGGAGAGAAAAGTAAGACAGAGGTAAAGGGTTAAGAAAACAGCAGCAAGAATGCATTTCATTAAGGACTGAGATAACGATCCCATATATGCCATAACTACATGGAATAGCAGCTGGCCATATGGGAGCACTGTCACTTGTATGTCACCAGTTTACACCCTGTACTGAGAGAAGCTAATCGTCACTACATAGGTTAAGAACAAATATATGGCCTGTCTGCATTATGAATATGAAATTCTTTTCTGTTAGGATAATCCTAAACTTGTGGAAGAATTTGTATTCTATATATAAACATAACACATTTTTGCTAGATTACAACACAATTACATGCTGTATGTAGAAATACTATTTCCAATGGATGCTATGGAAGTTGGATCATCCATGGACATGCCATACATGACCATGGGTTCAATGCAAAGGCTGCTTATGGCGATACACAGTACTTACACTGTGTATCGCCAGTATAGAAAAACCTTATTTTCTATACTGCTATGCCAAATTTGTGTACACCTGAATATAACAGTTTTCAGCTTCCAGCATTCCCTATGTGCTGCGCTCTACTAACAGGCAATACCACCCATTACATATTCTGACATGCACTACCCTAAGACTGGCAATAAAGAGACGTTGCGGTCTTTATCGCATGACACCTGAATACATTGAGGTATTGATTTAAATATCAAACTAGCCCAGATATTATAGAAAGAAACAGCTGATGAGGATAAGAGCAACATTAAATAAAGTATAAAATTAAATGTCCTATGCTCCCAGTCTGATTGAATGTCATAAGACATACAGTGATGATTTTATTTTTGAAATGATTGTATATTGTACATGCCTTCAAATCCAAGAGCATGTGTATGCCACCTCCACCTGTACCTGTACTTGAATTGCCTCCATCAGATCATTCCCAGGGATTTACATTCAAGGAATTAACTAAGCTTCCTGAACCATTATAATGGTGAAGGGAATTGTCAGAAGTGGCATGCACCACATTAAACGGTAAGTTCACCTTTTAACAAAAAATAATAAATGCACATTTTTTTTTGCAGGTAAAAAAAAAAAGTGCATTATTTTGGTGTTTCTGAAGCCTCTAAAAGCACAGCACCAGCAATCACCAGATTGCTGGTATCATGCAGGTCTCCTGCATACCTGTCAGTGTATCTGTGTGCCCATATGGGACATACCAGGCAGATACTTACTGACAGGAAGACTCAGTGAACTACCACGTTTCACATGGGATGTGAGCCATCAGAGGAGAGCTCACGTCCATCTCTCTGCACATGCAGTGATTACATAGCACGAGCAGAAAAAACACAGGGTTAGAACCCTCCTTCTCCTTCGGTACTGAGTTGTGAGAATGCAGATCTCGTTCTCTGTCAAGCACAGCACACTCTCTATCGCTCCCAATTAACAACTGTTACAATTATAATTGGTAATTAAGAGCAGCAGCTGTTTCATATTCTAAATTTAGAAGAACTGTGCAAGACTGTACTTGCACAACTCTTTAATTCCTCCTCCATGTTTTTCTTACACAGTCCCTACTTAAAGCCTACCCAAAGGACAACTTGTCCCCTGACATTTCTCTAGTCCTCACTTAACATTCAAAACTCCATGCAGTTATTGGCAATACTATCAAAGAAAAAGACATTGTTGTGTGCGGCCAACCTTAAGACAAGTTAGGCAAATTGGAAACACTTAGGGAGGTCAACGCAGCTTTATTCTTTATATATTACTATCATAATATAAATCAATTATATATTCATTAGAAGCCACAGGCACAAAATAACTGAAGTATCTGAAAACATACACCAGGCCTATTTATAAAGATCAGTGAAAAATATTTTAAAATAAAAATAAAACAATTGCACCACCCTGAGAAAAAGTCCTCCTTTTTTCACACTAAACAGAAACTGTGTACTCATGTTGCTTATAAATGTTTGTATAAATAAAAAGGTCTGTCTACAAAAAAAACATTTAAAAAGGGATTATCACCTTTGTAGGGAGAAAAAAAAAAAGGAGGGGAAATAATCCTGGGGCAGCAAAAATAGTTCTTGCAGGAATGTAGTGTAAAATGCTTTTCTTGGAGTACATCACTGGACACAGAGGAGTTAATAGTCCTTACTACATGGGGTATGTTGCCACCTTCAAGTGAATAGACAGGTGCCAGAAAAAAACAGGAGCCCCCACCCAGACCAACTCTTCCCAGCGTAGCTAAGCCTCAGTGTGTAGTAAGCAATCCTGTAACCTGGTAGAATTTGTGGAGAAGACCAGGAAGCAGCCTTATAGTCCATTCTTTTTCTGCCTGAGGGACCTCATAAGGGTCAGGCTACTTCTAAATCCACTTCTATGTGGATGTGTAATCTCATTTCTTAGTCCTATGTGTGCAAGGGCAGAGTTCTCCTTTCCCAGTTAAGGCCCATTTCACTAGGAGTGTAGGTGCTTCCGGGGCCACGTGGCATTCAGCTTCTGTTGTACAAGTGAAATGGGCCTTAACTGGGAAAGGAGAACTCTGCCCTCGCACACATAAGACAGAGAAATGAGATTACACATCCACCTAGAAGTGGATTTAGAAGCAGCCTGACCCTTATGAGGTCCTTCAGGCAGAAAAAGAATGGAATTAGACTGTCAAAACGAAGTAGCAGACTTCAGATACATTTGCTCAGCCTGAACAACATCCAAAGTGTGAAACACCTCTTTTGGATGCTTAGCAGTAGGACAAAAGGATGGCAACAAATGAAACTACCTTAGACAGGAAAGAGGAACAAAGCTTCACCACCACCACCTATAATGGTGAAGAACCAGGTAGAGTTCTTTGCAGGAAAGCATAGCCAAATCTGAAACCCTGTTAGCCGAGGTAATGGCCACCGAAAAGGCACCCTTGTGTGTAGGAAGCGACAAGGTAAGAGAAAAGACTGACTAAACTTTGACCAAATAATGAGGCTGAATTTTGTCCTTTGACGGTAATAAATGGCAAGGATATCGCCAGATGAGATTGGAGAACAGCTGGAATATGCCCTATGACATACTGTCGAGCATGGAACTTATGCGTTTCACACCAAGTGAAAGAATGCCTTTCATGTACAATGGTTTACTTACTTTCCTGGAGGTCAACTTTGTAGCCCTGAGAAGGGCAGGAATCACAGAGTCGGAAAGGTCCTGGTCTCTCAGAACCTGAGCTTCAATGGCCATGCTGTTAACATGGATGTAATATCAGATCCTGAGATAACACTCCCAGCACTCTCATGCACATCCTGATCAAGGGATCTTCCAAACATTAGACAAACACACCTGGACTCGAACAGACAAGCCCTTTTCTGCAGAAGCAGTATCCTTGCCTGAGACATATCTAGGACTAAACCCATGTATTCCAGGCATTGCATTGTAACCAAGGTTGACGTCCAAAGGTTTAGCACCCAGCGGAATCTCTCCAGGACTTGTACTGTCATCTGAACATAGTGCATCAGTCTTCAATGCAATTGCTCTCGTAGAGAGCAATTCTACCAGGTATACCACAATGAGAATCTCTTGGGGTTTGAAAAACCTCAGGAACTGAGACAACATTTTGATAAACAACCTGGGTGCCATGGAAAAGCCAAAGGGCAACGTCACAAATGGGTACTGGAGATCTTCCACCGCAAAATACAGAAATTGTTGGTGAGGCTGGAAAATTTGACATGTAGGCAGGCACCCTTGTTGACCGACACCAGAAAGTCCCCTTGATGAAGTGACGCAATCACTGAGTGGGAAGACTCCATCTTTATTTTTTATTTTTTTTTTTCCGGAACTTCTTGAGAACCTTGAGGTTAAAAACAGATGTTTCTGTTTGGCTTAGGAATCATGAACAGGTTGGAGTATAAACCTTGAGATCTTGGACTCTGAAGATGTTACTGGCTAACCAGTAACCTTTGCCTTCTTCATAAGAGGTAATATCTTACGAAGAACATCCATTCATCTTCTGGATGTTGGCATCCAAGAAAAGTCCTAAAAAAAAAAAAAAAGAGTTCTCTCAAAGGGTACCCTCTCAATACGCTTCTTGCAGAGAAGTTCCACATACCAACACTTAGAGTAACTTCACTTTCGTTGAGAAAAACCCCAAACCCATCTGGGTAATCAATGTACACAGGGATTTTACCAAACTTTGCAGCAAATTCCTACGCTTTGTTGAAGAAATAGCTCTTTACTTCACCCAACCGATTACATACTCATTCTGAATGAGAGGGCCTGATGCATTATTAATCAGTTGATGCACTGTGTTCTAACGAGGAAAGCTGTAGTGTCTGTAAACTTTTGGAAGTGATTTGCCCTTGGGGAGTATCTCACCAATACCTAAATTTCTATTGCAAGGAGTGCCTAAAATCTGGCTTTTACCTTAGTGTAGACTTCTTGGAAAAATCAGTGAGTCAATCACACAAGCAGAAAATGAGATATTTGGAGGCGTTCTCTACACCATATACAGGCATACAGAACGCCTCCAGATTGCCATATTGCATTGAATTTTACATAGAATTACAGATTGAAAAGGAAAGGTAATTTTTAAGAACATTAAATTACATGGCCTGTGTAGCAGTTGTATGTGCTATGCTCTATTTGCAAACTTTTTTTTTCCCCCATGAAAGTGGAGTTACCCTTTAAGCCATGTGGACAGACATAGTGCCCACATGTGAAAGCTGCCTTATGGAGTCCTCCAAGGCATGCACTGGGAAGCTCAGGGCTCTCAGAAAGTCTTCCAGGACCTGCCAAATGGCAGGATCATCCAGATCAAATTTCCTGAAATGAAGCATATGTTTCGCCCAGATCTTAAAGGCTTACCACACTTCTACTGCAGCCACCTCAGAGAGGACCTCCAACCTCTTATTTGTGGCATCTTTAAAGAATGAGACATCATCCATGGAGACCATCAGGGTGTTAGGAAATAGCTGGGTCAAAAGTAGGCAACCCCCA